AGTGTTAGAAGTTGGGGGTAGAAGGACATTATTGAGTTGGAGACATGTTCTTTTTGCATTGATTTCTTGGGACTTCTTCTATTGATCCCCAAGGTCTTCTCTTGGTGTTTAAATGTAGGTGGGAATATTTTTATTGATATATTTTTGGTCTCATACCACATAGAAATATGATAGGAAAGTTTTACAAAAACTATGTATTCATTCATCAGGACTCAGGAGGATGTGTATACCGGCGTGTTTTCATTTGGCTCAATAATGAAGCATTTCTAGAAAGCTTCCTAACATTGTGAATGGAAAATCTGCTGATCACCTCCCATGGTGATCAAGTACCATGACGCTGGTGTTCTGGGTAAAAAATGCAGAATCAACAGAGTGCTGACAAATTTACCTGCTCGTTGCTCTGTCAGCAGGAGATTTGGAGAGTTTTTTTTTTTTCCTCCTTCTTCTTGTGGTGCTGCTTGGTTATGCTAGCTCAGATCATTATACAATTTTGGCAGGTTTCATGATATGATCTGAGATTATATAGATTATAGTCAGCACAGTTTGCTTCCTCATTCTATAAAATTAGAATTTTGGGGCGAGCCACATGGCTCAGTGGGTAAAGGCACTTACCGTCAGACTGACAGCCTGTGCTGAATCTCTAGGACCTACGTGATTGGAGAGATCCAACCCCCTTCGAGTTGTCTTCTTCCCTGTGTACACACACACATACACACACACACACTACATGTAACAAAAGGTGACACTTGATGGAGTGTGATAAAGCAACTGAGAAGTTTAAATATAAACCACTCTTAAAAAGCTATAAAAAAAAAACCCCCACAGCATTTCTAAATAGTTAGACCAAACGTGACTAGAAATTTGACTATAAAACAATCACCATTAGGTTTTACAAACCATTGACTTTCTTTGTCAATCAAATGGGTGGTAAAGCTTCCCTAAAACTTTCGTCTTAATGATTTCTTACCGGTCCAACTTACAGTATGATTTCCCACCTCGTTGTTTGTGAGTGGGTTCTTTATAGTTCATACAGTCACTGGATTAAACAGATCACCGTAGCTTGTTTTCCATAATCAGTTTGCTGTCACAGGTAAGAGCTGGGAAGATTGTAAGTGGGTGTGAGCACCATTGCCGCTTTGCTCCCAAAAGCTGTGGAGGTGCTTATCTAACGTTGAAAAGAGATTTACTTTTGTTTTCAAATTATGAATATGTATGTCTGCTTGTTTGTCATGTGGGTGCAGTGCCCATGGAGGCTGGCAGGGGGCGACAGAACCATTGGAGTGGGAGTTACAGCAGCCAGTGCTGGGAACTGAAACCCAGGTCCTTGGAAGAGGAGTAAGGACCATTAACAGCACCCCTTCCCCACCTCTCTACCCCCTCCCCCTTTTTTTGACATCATCATTTCATGAGACCTTGTTAATAATGTTAATAATAGACAGATTCATGCCTTGGCATGTACTTTATCTTTTTGGTTGAAGTATGATGCACTTCTAGGTTACTGGATATTTGGTGTTCGAGAACAATATAAAATTTATTTGAAGTTAAATTTGGAGTTTCAACTTGGAACTGTGAAGTTGGGATTCACTCTAATCTCTTTTTTTGTTTTGTTTTAAACACGGTGGGGCAATCCTTTCTGTGACATTGTATAGGAAGGCTAGTATTTTTCTACAATATTGCCTTAAGGATTTATTCATGTCATTTTATGTGTATGAGCATTTTTCTCACACGTATGTCTCCACACCACGTTTGTGTCCTGGTGTCCGTGGAAGTCAGAAGAAAGCACCAGATCTCCAAGAACTGGAGTTATTGTTTGGCTGTAAGTCACCATGCTGGGGACTGAACTCTGGTATTTTATAAGAGCAACACTTGCTTTCATGGCTGACCCATCTCTCCAGGCAGTATTCTTAACAATCGTCACATTAAAAACTCAGCGAGCAGGGACTTTAAATCCTTCATGAAGCAGATTTTTCATTAACAGTAAATAATCAAGTCGTTGATGCTAAGCCCTCAATGAGGTGAGGACCCCCCACCCCCAGCTCCTGTCCTCCTCACATTTTGGCATATTCCAGGTGCACACATATTAAAGTGTGCTAACCAACAGCCTTCGGTTTCATTCTCCGTTCAGTTTTTGCTCTGATTACTTTGGCTTATCATTTCCTAAAAGAATGATATCATAGAGACACACCTGGAATGTCTTACAAAAATGAAGATAATTAAATCTCTGGCATAATTAAATCCTGTGCTGTAACTATTTCAAAAATTGTTTTCGAAAAGAAAAGATGTTGTGTTGTCTGGAGGTACACTTTAGATCCCGGATTAAAGTCCAGCACCGCTGGGCCTGGAGGACCTTGTTTGGGCCATTTTTGTGTCTATTTACTGGGAGTCTAAGAAGCATCCTCCCACTACAGGTGAAGTCACATGCCGTCAAGCCTGCCATTCTTTGGCTGTGTATAGAATTTGCTTTAGGGTTGTCAAATACCCACTAGTCTCCTTTGTTTGACCTTTTAAAATTAAAAAGCATGGCACTGATCTCATGCTTGATCATGGACAGTTAGTATAACCTCTCTGACCTTCACTGTCTCAGAAGCAACATTATAAAAGCAAGTAGTAAAAATGATTTTTCTTATAGAAAAGAACAACAAACAACAACAACAACAAAACAAACCATATTCTCCAGATCAGGAAAGTGGATTCCACGTGAAATGGTTATGTAGAGAGATAAAAGGAAAATCTGATTAACATGAAGAAAGCCTGCCACTCTACAAGAAACCCAAAACACGTAAACAACAAACACCCTCTTAAACATTAACAAAACAAGCCCCCAAACAGAACAAAGCAAAACAAAATGGGGGGGGGGGGATGTTTGGAAACAGATTTTCTCCAAATCTCAATCCTGATAAAAATATAAACACTAAGAAAAACTAGAGAAATATTAACCAAATACTCTCCTGGGCAGTCATGAATTGTATCTCTCATTCAGAGGTGAGTGTGGAAGGGTGTGTATCTGAAGGAGGTGCTGGAGGCTTCAGGGGATATTTGGGGCCATCCACGGAATGAGAGCCGCTGATGAAGAGTGAGTGTTGGAAAAGCCCGTTGTGTTAGAGTGAGGGAGAGCAGTCGCCTTATCCTGACATACAGTCCATCCAGTTGGAGGTTATAGCATCCTTCTTTTGCTTTCTTAGTTGGTTTTCCCCGTCTTTTTACCTATTTTTAATTTGTTACCCGTGAGTGTGTCTGTGACGTGCATGCCTGAGTGTTGGTGCATGTGTGTTACGTCACATTCATGCTCGTCGCCTCACATGTGTGGAGGTCATAGGACATCTGTGTGGAGTTGGTTCTCTCCACCTTTACATGAACTCTAGGGATCCACCTCAGGCCCCCAGGCTCTCAGGTATGCCTTTGTGACTTAGCCATCTTGCTGGGCCTAGAGCTGTATTGGTCTCTCCCACAGTTTACTCTAATGGGCCCACTTTTGTGAGTTGTCCTGAAAGAGAAGGCAGAGCCCAGTTTAAGTCTCATGAAGTCAATATGCGGTGTGTGACTGTACCAATAAAACAGGTTGTAATATGGGTTTTATGTATTTGAAGGAGAAAAGATGCCGCGATCCAAAGACAAGAAAAATATCAAGAATATGCCAGAATGTTTTTTCTTTTTTTCTTTCTTTTTTGAAACAGGGTCTTTCTACATAGCCCTGGCTGTCCTGGAACTTACTGTGTAGACCAGGCTGGCCTCAAACTCACAGAGATCTGCCTGCCTCTTGTCTCCCAAGTGCTAGGACTAAAGGTGTGCACCACCATGCCTAGTCTGGGTAGCGTGTGTGTGTGTGTGTGTGTGTGTGTGTGTGTGTATGTATGTATGTGTGTGTGTGTGTGTGTGTGTGTATGTGTGTGTGTGTATGTGTGTGTGTGTATGTGTGTATGTGTGTGTATGTGTGTGTGTGTGTATGTATGTGTGTATGTGTGTGTGTATGTGTATGTGTGTATGTGTATGTGTGTATGTGTGTGTGTATGTGTGTGTGTATGTGTGTGTGTATGTGTGTGTGTATGTGTGTGTGTATGTGTGTGTATGTAAATATTGACATATTTATAGATTTGGGGATGCTTGATGGGAAGTAAGACATTGCAGCAAGTCTCAGTCATTCTGATTATGAAAAAGTGTGATGGTTTAAATATATATATGTTTATTTATGAGATTTGGGACTTTGAAGACTTGGCCTTTGCTGTGGCTTTGTCCACCATGCTTCTTAGTAAACAGAATGCTACACGCTAAATATCTATAGGTCTGTTAAATATGGTGCCTAATAGATACACGAACTGTTTGACAGTGCCGTATTCTAATGAGTGCAACAACCGGGTGCTAAACATGTAACTGAATAAGATGTTGGTATATGTGTGAGGTCAGCAATTGGTTTCTAAAAGCATTGCTTTGGGAAAAGGGGGAGGAAATAAGTGTATAGGTTAGGACAGGCCTGAGGAACACGCTAGTCACTCTCTGGATTCTGTTCAGTGGTTAGAGCGGATGCTTGGAAAGCTGGTTGGAGATGTAAATAGCGAATGGTAGCGGATATTAGAGAGAAATGATTAGTCCACCGTAGGTATTCTAATGGGCTGCCCTGTGTTAGCAAGGCCTGTGTTTTAGAGCAGGGCGTATTGAATTGTCCTCACATGAAATGCTTGGATGGCAGCCTTTTTGCTTCAGAGTAATCCCGGGGGATGAATGAGATGTGCAGCTATGACTGAGGCATGCTGATATGCTTGGAGCTTACTGCCGTGTTCATGAATGACGGGAGCAGGTGCTTTATGATAGCATTCGCAATAATTTTACACCAGTTGGAAAATTTCCGGAGTTTAAGACAAAATAAGTAACGTGTCATGATGGGAAGAGATGGTAGAACCAGGTGAATGCTTACTACCAGAAGTGGGGTTAGATACAAGTCAACCCAAAAATTTTTAATTATAAACGCCCCTGACAGGCAAATGTTGTGTTTTGTTTTTCTTCAGAGACGAAGCCACTTATTTGAATCTGGGCAATTAGCCTCTAAATGCTTAATTCTTCAAACTGCTCACGCGTCCTGCATGGTTAGATGCTCCATGTCACCACCAAGAACTTAGTTGGGACTGGCACTACGGTAAGATCACAGTAAACACTACAGGTTAAGAGTGAGGTCTAGGAAGAATTTTTAATGCTGCCCTTTGGCTCACAGCTTTGATGACAGTTTCTGTGTTAGTCACTTTTTCGTCACGCCAATGATGCTTCTGACATAATTAACTTAATTGTGAAGAGGTTGGTTTGGGCTTATGGTCTTGGAAGTTCTGGTCTATGAATTTCCGCCTTATTGCTTTGAACCTTTGCCTAGAGACCAGAACAGGGTATTGGGGAACCAGGATCCCACCATTCCCTTCAAGGATGACTCCCCAATGATTTGATCCTTCCCAGTAATCTCTACCTCTCAACCACCAAATTAGGAATCAAACTTTAGATATGTTGGGCCATTAGGAGACTTACACAGTTTTAAAAATAATTAATATTTTACTGTATTTTTATTATGTGCATAGGTGTTTTGCCTGCATGCACATCTGCACGGTGTTTATGCCCAATGCTCATGAAGGCCAGAAGAGGGCCCTAGAACTGGAGTTATAAATGGCTGTGAGCCGCCAAGTGGTTGCTTGGGAATCAAACCCAGGTCCTCTGCAAGAGCAGCCAGTGCTGTTGACCACCGAACCATCCTCCCTCCAGTCCCCAGTGCGGGTCATTTAAGATATGAGCAAATAGCACATTCCACTCAAGGTTATGGTAACTAGTCAGAGTGCAACGAGTAAGTGGGTTTTCGTGACCTTTCCTTCTCAGACGGAGACCGGAATGGATAGTGTTTACCACCAGAAATGTAATACTGTTAACTCTGTGTCTCAGTCAGGGCTAGTTTTCAGGTAGCTGACAGTGTGGCTTTCACACAGTTTATTAGGGATCAGCCCAGGAAGAAGATTGGGCTCAGGAGAAAGCTTTGTGCCTATCCTGCAGGGAGAATTGTAGCGGTGAGAACTGATTTTCCTCCTTAAACAGGAGACTAGTTGGATCGACACAGCCGATCTCACAGTCTTTGTACTTTGCACAGACCATCATAGAAACTCCTCAGCAAACACTTGAGGGGCGAAGGAAATCTTGAGGTCTCTTCTGTGGCACCCAGTGCTTGCCTTATCTGTACCCCAGCTCCTTCCTTTCTGAGATGTGAAAGTGAGCTGGGGGGGGGGGATCAATAGTGACCCAGCAGGTGGTCCAGTGTGTCCTGAGCAAACACCTAGTGCAATTTCCTGTCTGGCATTCACTGTGTTACAGGGCTCCTCAGATAAGAACCCGCAGAGGGGCCCAAGGCAAATAGCAGACACACTGTGTAAAACCCCTGAGGTCACAGTCACCAAGCAAACACAAAATAAGAGCACCCACAGGCAGTGAGACCTCACGGCTTAGAGTTATGGCATTGTTTTCCTTGTTTGTGGGGATCGGGTCACCGAGATGTCAATTTTATTTCTTTTAGGCTCAGAGGAAGCTTGGAGAGAGAACGTGCTTCTTAAAAGAGTTTTTATAAAAGTCAGGGTTTTTTCTAATAGAAGTCTGCTTTAGGGAAAGAAATGTAAGTCTTCCTTCCCTGTTCTTCACCTAGACAGAATTCCCACCCGATCCCTGCTTGGTAACAGGGTCCTGAGTATCCCAGGCTGGCCTTGAATTCACTCTGTATCCGGGACGACTCTGAATTTCCCATCCTTTTCTTCTTCCTCTGGAGTGCTGGGATTACAGACGTAACCCACGGCTCTTGGTTTATGAGGTCCTGGCTATTGACCCCTTAAGTCTTATGGTCTAGGAGCAAGGGCGGAACCTGACTCCAAGCAGATGTCAATTAGCTACCCCTTTACAGTCATTTCCCCTGATGTCTGTAGGGACGGACAGCTTTGCTCCTTCTTTAGAAATGTTATGTTTCGTATTTATTTTCACGTCTGGTACTGGAAGGGAGTGATTGTGTGCACGTGTGAGTTTTGCTGAGCGAGTGTGAGTTTGGAAGTCACTCTGAAGTCCTCTGAAGCTCAAACACAGTTCCCCAGGCCACTCTCCTTCGTTCCTATCCCTCAGACTCCTGTCCTTCCCTCCCACAAGGCAGGGAGAGGACTGAGTGGGCGCTAGCTTGGGTCTTAGAGCCTTTCTGTTTTCTGTCTGTCCAGGTAACATCAAGGTCGTGGGATTAACCCCTTGTGCTCTTTCAGCATATGGAATGGATTGTAGTTATTTTGAGAACAAGGATGGGTGCTGATGACCACAGTTATTACATTTTATGATTCATTTCTCAAGTCTTTAACATTATGTTTTTTAGATAGATCTGCTGCCAATGACCTTTTTTTTTTAAAAAAAAAAGATTTATTTATTTTATGTATGTAAGTACATTGTCGCTGTCTTCAGATACACCAGAAGAGGATATTAGATCCCATTACAGGTGCTTGTGAGCCACCATCGGTTGCTGGGAATTGAACTCGGGACTCTTAACCACTGAGTCATCTCTCCAGCCCCATCAATGACTGTTTGATGACTTATTCTAGGGTTTATACTATCATGACAAATGCTTGATTCTAAATGGGATGTGTGTGTGTCTGTGTGTCTGTGTGTCTGTGTGTTTAAAAGTCTAAAGTTTTCACCGGCTCAGCCTCACGTTCTGTGTTAAGTTGTGAGATCTGGTAACAAATTTTCAAACTGATAAGAATTATCTTCTGAGTCCAAGTTACTGTCTTGCACTCAAGAGCTTTAGTTTACGTGAGAGGAAGGTACACCCCAGAGCAAAGCGAATTTCTTTTTTTTTTTTACATGATCACAGTGAAGGCTATCAGAGTCTAAATGTTTAACCTCATCGGTGTGAAACATTTTATGGCACGGAGTATTGCCGTTAACACCCACTGTAGAAGGGCACACAGATGTGGCCTGCAGTCTCACAGCCTCAAACTGTTCAGCTTGTTATCAGCACAAACAGTAATGTCCTAAAAAATCAGCTTCCAAACAGCTGGTGTCTGACCGGCTGGGCTGTCGTACCGCCTAGGCTCACATGACGTCTCTCTGCTCTTTGCCTCAGATAGTATATAGCCCTTAACTAGTCATCAAGGAAGTTGGTCCCTGCACCTTTGCTTTGTGCTTCTGGATCTAGTAATGTAGACGGAGCACCTTAAGATGGATTTTTTAAAGAGAGTCGTGCCTCCTGTCCTCTCGGGAGACCTGGTTTTGGATGCCAGAGAGAAGACTGAGGGAAATTCCCCCAGATTACTTAAGGTGCGAAGACTCCGTTCAACCGCCTCTGAGAGGACAGTGAGTGACCCAGACGGGAGTGAGTTGTGTGGAAATGACGATGACAGATATCTACATCAACAAATGGGTAAAGTAAAAAAGGCGTCGCTTCAGTTCTTTCAAAAATTATCCCAGGAAAGTAAGATTTAAGTATTAAAAATGTGTCCTAAAGTAACTAGAGTTAACCTAAGTCTCTGAGTATTAGAAGTTTTGTTTTGATTTAGAGAGGGAATCGAATGATGTAAAATAGTATCAGATCATCAAGCCTGATAATTCTGAGGGTCTTTGGGAAATATTCTGAGGAAGTATTATTTAAAAATGTTATTAAGACCCATGGGGAAAACAAATAGGATACGGAGACAGGTCACTGTCATACCACGCTTGTTACAGAAGTCAGTTCCACACGGGGCAATGGCAAATGGAAAACGCTCTCTGTTTGAAATTTCCAATCGAGGCATTCTGAATCTTTTTTAGAAATGTTTAAGAAGCAGCTTTCTGAGGGTGCTGGTGCCTGCCCTGCCCTTGGCTGCCTCACAGGTGTGTGCCTGTGTCACTTAAAACACGCCCGAGCATACGGAGAGTGTAAGGACAGACTCACTTCATCTTGTAAGCACGAACACAAAGAAAATTCACTCTGATTCCAGTTTCGAGTCACTAAAATCTTACATAATTATTCATTCTCATGTCAGTTCATATCTTCTGGCAATTGCTTCTTAGTATAAATTTCCACACACTTTTAAAATTGGGGCAGACATTGTGATAACTTCCTTTAAGAGGGTTTCCAGTTTAAATCTCAGGCAGGATTTTGCAGCCTCTGTTACTTCGTATTCTCCCCAACATTGTTTCCTGTCAGTTTTTAAAAGTGCAGTTGTGTTTATGAGAAACCATAATTTCTGTTTTAAATGTACCAATTATGTAAAAGAATGGGGAGTTGGTTTTTCCCCCCCTTTTAAATAAAGAAAATACGTGTTAAGGCTCACAGACCTGTAATCCTAGACACTGCAGGGGCGGAAGCCAGAGGCCTGAGACTTGAAGTGCACACCGCACTGCCACCTGCCCGGCATTGCCACCTGGGCTGCGCCAGGTCCAGTCTCCAAATGGAGATGAGACCCTTCCTCTTTGGTGACTGGCTTTTTTCGGTTCTCCAACAGCACAGCAACTGCAGGGCTGTGTTGTGTCTACGACTTCCTGGTATCAGATGTTAGCTGTTTTGATGTTTCTCACACTTGTAGAGGTCAAGGAAGGGATGGAGGCACCGCGTGCTACCTTTTGATTTGAGTTAAATCCCGAGATTCGGCCCTCGAGTCTGACAGTGTGTGCACTCTGTGTGTGCAGCTTGTGTGAGGCGTTTGAAATTCACTTTTCCTCCTTTCGCTTTCAGTCCTGAGACGCTCAAGTTTTTCCTTATTGCCTGCCCCACCTGGCCTGATTGGAGTTGGCATTGACCTGTAGCCACACCTGTTTCTCTGGTTCCTTTCATTTCTCAGCTTGACCTGCGGTTGTTTCTTCCATTGGCCATGCTTTGTAGTGCCGCTCGTATTACAAAGTATACTGATCAGATGTTTGCATTAATGTTAACTAAGGACAGTGCCACCCTTTTTCACTTTTTATTTGTGTGTGTGTGTGTGTGAGTGTGTGAATGCGGAGATGAAAAAATAGAATTTGGGACTTGATTGTCATCTTCTACCATGGGACCTGGGATTCTAGCTCAGCTCATCAGGTTGGCTTGGGGGTGTTTTTTTTTTCCCCGGGGAGCCATCACTACCTTATGTAATGACTTGGGCTGGAGAGATGGCTCAGCAGCGCTTGCTC